CTCTTAGTTCCCCCACTGCATCCTCACAGTCCTCTAAGTTCCCCCACTGCATCCTCACAGTCCTCTAAGTTCCCCACTACATCCTCACAGTCCTCTAAGTTCCCCCACTGCATCCTCACAGTCCTCTAAGTTCCCCCACTGCATCCTCACAGTCCTCTAAGTTCCCCCACTGCATCCTCACAGTCCTCTAAGTTCCCCCACTGCATCTTCACAGTCCTCTAAGTTCCCCCACTGCATCATCACAGTCCTCTAAGTTCCCCCACTGCATCCTCGCAGTCCTCTAAGTTCCCCCACTGCATCCTCACAGTCCTCTAAGTTACCCACTGCATCCTCACAGTCCTCTAAGTTCCCCCACTGCATCCTCACAGTCCTATAAGTTCCCCCACTGCATTCTCACAGTCCTCTAAGTTCCCCCACTGCATCATCACAGTCCTCTAAGTTCCCCCACTGCATCTTCACAGTCCTCTAAGTTCCCCCACTGCATCCTCACAGTCCTCACTCCTCTAAGTTCCCCCACTGCATCCTCGCAGTCCTCTAAGTTCCCCCACTGCATCCTCGCAGTCCTCTAAGTTCCCCCACTGCATCCTCGCAGTCCTCTAAGTTCCCCCACTGCATCTTCACAGTCCTCTAAGTTCCTCCACTGCATCATCACAGTCCTCTAAGTTCCCCCACTGCATCCTCACAGTCCTCTAAGTTCCCCCACTGCATCCTCACAGTCCTCTAAGTTACCCACTGCATCCTCACAGTCCTCTAAGTTCCCCCACTGCATCCTCACAGTCCTCACAGTCCTCTAAGTTCCCCCACTGCATCCTCACAGTCCTCTAAGTTCCCCAACTGCATCCTCACAGTCCTCTAAGTTACCCACTGCATTCTCACAGTCCTCTAAGTTCCCCCACTGCATCATCACAGTCCTCTAAGTTCCCCCACTGCATCCTCACAGTCCTCTAAGTTCCCCACTGCATTCTCACAGTCCTCTAAGTTCCCCCACTGCATCATCACAGTCCTCTAAGTTCCCCCACTGCATCCTCACAGTCCTCTAAGTTCCCCCACTGCATCCTCACAGTCCTCTAAGTTCCCCCACTGCATCCTCACAGTCCTCTAAGTTCCCCCACTGCATCTTCACAGTCCTCTAAGTTCCCCCACTGCATCCTCACAGTCCTCTAAGTTCCCCCACTGCATCATCACAGTCCTCTAAGTTCCCCCACTGCATCCTCACAGTCCTCTAAGTTCCCCCACTGCATCTTCACAGTCCTCTAAGTTCCCCCACTGCATCCTCACAGTCCTCTAAGTTCCCCCACTGCATCCTCACAGTCCTCTAAGTTCCCCCACTGCATCCTCACAGTCCTCTAAGTTCCCCCACTGCATCCTCACAGTCCTCTAAGTTCCCCCACTGCATCATCACAGTCCTCTAAGTTCCCCCACTGCATCCTCACAGTCCTCTAAGTTCCCCCACTGCATCATCACAGTCCTCACTCCTCTAAGTTCCCCCACTGCATCCTCACAGTCCTCTAAGTTCCCCCACTGCATCCTTACAGTCCTCTAAGTTCCCCCACTGCATCCTCGCAGTCCTCTAAGTTCCCCCACTGCATCCTCATAGTCCTCTAAGTTCCCCCACTGCATCCTCACAGTCCTCTAAGTTCCCCCACTGCATCCTCACAGTCCTCTAAGTTCCCCACTACATCCTCACAGTCCTCTAAGTTCCCCCACTGCATCCTCACAGTCCTCTAAGTTTTCCCACTGCATCCTCACAGTCCTCTAAGTTCCCCCACTGCATCCTCACAGTCCTCTAAGTTCCCCCACTGCATCCTCACAGTCCTCTAAGTTCCCCCACTGCATCCTCACAGTCCTCTAAGTTTCCCCACGGCATCCTCACAGTCCTCTAAGTTCCCCCACTGTTTGTTTGTTTGGGGACCAGCTTTTGGTACACTGGTTAATGTTTACTATAATATTGAAATATTACATTAGAATTAGATAAATAAATAGAAAGATAGAACATACCACTATAATCAAAAATTGAAACACTGTACCGTAGCACACAACACAAAAAGTTAAACTACTGGCAAAGTGTCCTCAGAAAAATAAAAAACCTTAAATATACCTAGCCTTGGTGAGACCTGCTTCGCGATTGCTATTCAGCGATGTGTGCTCCACAAGTCATCACATACCTGAGTTACAATCACGGTTGCAGTTTTTTAGCTCACAATTAAAAGTTTCTCGTTATTAGCCGTAATCAACAAATACACGCAACAGCCATAAATAAGAGCCATACACACATTTAAATCAAAGTAATTATGTAGATATCAAAAACACCGAATGTTACAACTTAACCTTATCTACACTGAAAATCTTGCCGTCTCTAATATAATGATACTTTGTTGGCTCATCAGTGATCATTTCCTTTACTTTGACAACAAGTTTCTGATGAGCTGCTCTCTCCTCCTTGCTTCTGTCAGGTGTGATGTACCATGTGTGGTACGCTGTACATTTAGATTTCTTCAGATTTCTTGCTCGAGCAAGAACCATTTTTACTGATTCCGCGCAAGCCAATGTCACTTTTATTGGTCTCGGTTTACCACTGCCTGAAGTTGTTTTAGTCCCGATAGAATTTGCTGCCACAACTTTAGGATCACACCCTGAGGATTCCCAAATCAATTCGATCACTTCTTCTGCCACTAAGTGTGGATCAGGGGAATAATTCTCCGGTACACCGTAGATAATGAAATTCTTACTACGGATGTCGTCTTCAACTACGGTTTTCACAGCTGTTTTTATACTGTTGATCGACGGAGTACTTGTAGTTGTCTCGCAGTTCTTCTTCACGATATCGCTCCACGCTGTCTTCATCTCGGTATGAACAGTTGTTTTAAAAGAGTCGAGTTGCTCCTGTTGCTGTTTAATCTGGTCTTTCTGATAGTTCAGCTGATCTGATTTAAGTTTGTCTATCGTACTGGCTGCACATTTACAAAGTTCAAGATTACTAGTCATTAGCTTAGAAAGATTTTCAACTGCAGTAGCCAAGGGATCTTTATTTACAGCCATTAATCTCGCATGATTCAGTTCTGTAACGCTTTGTGCTTTTGACATCTTCAAAATCTCATTCATCGCTGACGATAGCTCCTTTTCAAATCTGTTCAGATGTTCGACGGAAAAATCCATTTTACAAAAGCCAAGGCGTACAGCACGACGTGTCGGTGTAACAGCACGTTGAGATAACACTACCGATAAGAGAGCAATTAAAATGTTGCAAAAGCTAGAATAAAAGATTGTAACTGCATCCTCACAGTCCTCTAAGTTCCCCCACTGCATCCTCACAGTCCTCACTCCTCTAAGTTCCCCCACTGCATCCTCACAGTCCTCTAAGTTCCCCCACTGCATTCTCACAGTCCTCTAAGTTCCCCACTACATCCTCACAGTCCTCTAAGTTCCCCCACTGCATCCTCACAGTCCTCTAAGTTCCCCCACTGCATCCTCACAGTCCTCTAAGTTCCCCCACTGCATCCTCACAGTCCTTTAAGTTCCCCCACTGCATTCTCACAGTCCTCTAAGTTCCCCACTACATCCTCACAGTCCTCTAAGTTCCCCCACTGCATCCTCACAGTCCTCTAAGTTCCACCACTGCATCTTCACAGTCCTCTAAGTTACCCACTGCATCCTCACAGTCCTCTAAGTTCCCCCACTGCATCCTCACAGTCCTCTAAGTTCCCCCACTGCACCCTCAAAGTCCTCTAAGTTCCCCCACTGCATCATCACAGTCCTCTAAGTTCCCCCACTGCATCCTCACAGTCCTCTAAGTTCCCCCACTGCATCATCACAGTCCTCTAAGTTCCCCCACTGCATCATCACAGTCCTCTAAGTTCCCCCACTGCATCCTCACAGTCCTCTAAGTTCCCCCACTGCATCCTCACAGTCCTCTAAGTTCCCCCACTGCATCCTCACAGTCCTCTAAGTTCCCCCACTGCATCCTCACAGTCCTCTAAGTTCCCCCACTGCATCCTCACAGTCCTCTAAGTTCCACCACTGCATCTTCACAGTCCTCTAAGTTACCCACTGCATCCTCACAGTCCTCTAAGTTCCCCCACTGCATCCTCACAGTCCTCTAAGTTCCCCCACTGCACCCTCAAAGTCCTCTAAGTTCCCCCACTGCATCATCACAGTCCTCTAAGTTCCCCCACTGCATCCTCACAGTCCTCTAAGTTCCCCCACTGCATCATCACAGTCCTCTAAGTTCCCCCACTGCATCTTCACAGTCCTCTAAGTTCCCCCACTGCATCCTCACAGTCCTCTAAGTTCCCCCACTGCATCCTCACAGTCCTCTAAGTTCCCCCACTGCACCCTCAAAGTCCTCTAAGTTCCCCCACTGCATCATCACAGTCCTCTAAGTTCCCCCACTGCATCCTCACAGTCCTCTAAGTTCCCCCACTGCATCATCACAGTCCTCTAAGTTCCCCCACTGCATCCTCACAGTCCTCTAAGTTCCCCCACTGCATCCTCACAGTCCTCTAAGTTCCCCCACTGCACCCTCAAAGTCCTCTAAGTTCCCCCACTGCATCATCACAGCCCTCTAAGTTCCCCCACTGCATCCTCACAGTCCTCTAAGTTCCCCCACTGCATCATCACAGTCCTCTAAGTTCCCCCACTGCATCATCAAAGTCCTCTAAGTTCCCCCACTGCATCATCACAGTCCTCTAAGTTCCCCCACTGCATCCTCACAGTCCTCTAAGTTCCCCCACTGCATCCTCACAGTCCTCACTCCTCTAAGTTCCCCCACTGCATCATCACAGTCCTCTAAGTTCCCCCACTGCATCCTCACAGTCCTCTAAGTTCCCCCACTGCATCCTCACAGTCCTCACTCCTCTAAGTTCCCCCACTGCATCCTCACAGTCCTCACTCCTCTAAGTTCCCCCACTACATCCTTACAGTCCTTTAAGTTCCCCCACTGCATCCTCACAGTCCTCTAATTTGTCCTCCTCGGCCATGTCTTAACTACAACTATATTGCAGATAAAACTAGGTAACAACGACGATAATTCTGGAAACTCCTCACTGAAATCCGCACCAAACAGTCCAGTGAAGAGGGTGTCTCCTTTGACACTTGAAACAGCGGTGGAGCTGAAATACGATCTTCAGGAGACGATAATTCCTTATCCTCAGGTAACCGGAGGATCATGGATATATCAATATTTTCAACCTGCTGTATACAAAATTATTTGAAATGATGGATCATGGATACAATGATGTTACATTGAAGCGTACAAAAGTGTAACAAAGGCAAAATTTAATTAGTCAAAATTCGTAGCATGTTAGGGTGGCTGGGAATTTTTAGATGGCATATCTACCGCTATTTTCGCAGCACATTGGAAATAAAACATATACCTTTACCGTCATGACGATAATTTGCGTTTTGCAATTATGGATGGGGTACAACTCCACTCGGAATAATACTATAAATAGAACTGTGCACTGTTAACGATTTTTTGTACAAATAAGGTTTACTTTCACGGCGGATGATTAGTAATTAACAGGATATAATTAGTAATTAACAGGTATTAGTAATTAACAGGTAATTAATAATGAACATGTAATTAGTAATTAACAGGCAATTAGTAATGAACAGGTAATTAGTAATTAACAGGTAATTAGTAACGAACAGGTAATTAGTAATTAACATGCAATTAGTAATGAACAGGTAATTAGTAACGAACATGTAATTAGTAATTAACGTACAATTAGTAATAAACAGGTAATTAGTAATTAACAAGTTGATTAATTCTTTGACAATCCCTATTGGCAGGTTGAAGATTCAAGTAGGATGATCCGGGAAGACGACAGTCCGTCACCCCTTATCAGTAACATACGTGATGAAATACTAGCCACACGACGCAGGACCTCCAATATACAGAGGTGGCGTGATTATGAAAGATTAACAATCAAATACAATGATAGAGATTGAAATGAATTTAGAGGTCTATTGAACAAAATATATTAGTATTACGCGGTAGTCGGCAAACGATGCGTCGAAACAATAACATAATTACAAATTTACTGGGTTGTATATAGCTGAATTACATATATAATTATAATATTAATCTACGTAAGTAACAAAGTTTATGGTTACGTAAACTATTTAAACAAGTGTATTAATAACGATTCTCTAAATGATCCATTTCTTGATTATTTTCATGAAGATTTAGTTCGGCATATTCTAAGAATATATTTCAAAAGTGGAGGGAAGTGGGAACAAACTTTAAAGGTTTTGTTCTCCAGGAGCATCGTGGTGCTGTATACAAAAAATAGGACCGCTATAATTGATATATTTCATCACACTGTCTACTGATTGCAAATTTATCTTTTAAATTCTGATCACATTTTCAGAAAGTCACTGACAAGTCCATGACGAAATGAAAGTTCAAGAAGACTGTAAATACCAACCAATCCCAGAACAAAATGAGTTATGTTATATCGCACGTGGATTCAGGAGGTGATCGTAAATGATGTCTGAAGGAATATTAACTATACCTTATCGGACCTAATTTGAACGGACATTAATTGGAGTTGGACGCTGAAGGTTAAATTAAATACATTAAATGAATTCTTTCGAGAGTTCCTATGTCCGTTGAAAATTATGTCGGTTCACGAAATGTCCGGTCAAACAACGTCCGATAAGGTATTCCACGTTAAGATGAAGAGCATGATCCTTTTCCGAGTGAGAAATCTGTATATCGCTATAATATGTGACTTTTGATAAATTTTAATAAAGCTATACTTATTAATAAAATAGAATTTACTTTGTTTTTCATTGTCATTATTTGTGAACATGCTCCTGAAAACGTCAAAAATCCCCATAACAAAACGGAATTATTGTTTAGGTAAAATTTGGCACTGTTCCATTCTTATGTTTTGGCCTATAAATGTAATAAGTGTTTACGATATGAGCACACATCGCTGCATACTGGTCTTTTGAAGTGTTTGAAGTAGTCATAGAAGCATGCAAACGATGTACCTCTTACCTCGAGGCGACCCGCTTGTGACCCGCTTGTGACTCGAGCCCGAGGTACATTGTTTTTATGCTTCCAAAGTTTGAAGACTGCTTCCAATTGTAAGATTTATTACATCATTATTTTGGAGCGACTGCTGCTATATCACTGCTCACGTGTACTTCTCTCCCAACACGCTCAAGACAAACTGCTATTTACTCTCTTTATATATCGTACCACTATTGAAGATAATGTAGGAAGAGAGCTGCTCCCATGACAATTGGCGCCTCATTTACTCACTGCGTACTTACACCTGTAACACATAGGATTAAGCACAAGAAGTGTGATAATTTACAGAGTACAATGCAACTTTAAGTTTACAATGCTGTGGAAACTCTATAGTCACAACACCAAAATAACTCAATTTGAAATTTAAAGTAATTTAAGTGTTATTTGGTGTTATAAATTGGCAAAAGCAAAGAATTGGGTTATTTGGTGTTCATGATATTGATAAACTTGATTCAAGAGAGCAGTTGACCAATATATTTTGGATGATACAAACTTCATATGAAAGGTACTGATAGGTCTAGTAGTAGATAGAACCCACGGTAAACTGCTAAACATGTAATTCAATTATAATATTAATAATCTCCTGGTCTGTCGCTTATCTAATCTACATTTTAATATGCTCTATTGATTCTGACATCTCGTGAAGAGATAAGGGGCCATCTACTTAGGACGTCCGCCAAAATCGCAGATTTTCAGACCAAAAAATCACGAACGCGAACTCTGCAAACTCGTTGCGAGAATAATAAAATCACAAACACTTAACATATTGAACAGAATTCCCCTCTACAAATTGTGATAAAAACAATAAACAACGCAGCTCAATGCTTTAACTTCGCATGTCAAAATAAATCATCATAAACAACGTCGCATTTCTGATAATTACATAACCAATCTAAGTCTGAGCCTCAAGAGCCACTTTATCGTACACAGTAATGTCCCGTATAACTCTGAACCCCACACAGTTCAAATGAGACTCCGCCAACAGTACCACAGGTACAAAAACATCAGATAGGTCCTGTTTCCGATTCCCTACTAGTGTCCATCTTATGGCCATGGTGAAGCTCTCTGACACTTGATCCGAGTTTTTGAACTCTCTCTCCAGCTCCAGTTGAAGGTTTACATCCGTGGGTTCAGGGTATCTCCAAGCGTTTGGAACAGCCCCGTTTGATAAGATCTTCCTTTTGTCATGCCCTGGTTTGACAATGACCCAGTCTAAGGACATGGCAACTTGTTGACCCTGCTCGTTTCCTAGAATAAATGTGTCGTACAGGGTGGTCAGCTCTCTCCACCCTGTTAAATCAGTGCCGTTGATTGTTTGGGGAGACTCAAACCGGGCGTGAGGGTGGTAAACTTGTCCTATCAACTCCTGAAACCTATCACGTGATTCCATACCTTCAGGTCCCCAGACTTTACGGTACAGTTCAGCAACCCTCTGTCCTATGTACTGGTAGATAGGCCTTACAGCTGGCCTGATATTGTGCAGGTTAATGCTGATATTCCCTTCCAAAGTCCCCTCCTTCTGTACCCGTTGGAACTCTTCAGTCAACCAACTGAGATGACAAGAGCCACTCTCCTCTGGGTCGAGTTTCTCCTGCCTCCACTTCTCAGCCCACCTCTTAGCCACCTCCTCACCACACACCCCCAGCTGTTCGTACAGACTCTTGTTATCCCTGACCAGCCACTCCCTCACGATCACCCCATCCTTCATAACACAGTGCGCTATAACCCAGATCCGGGCCTGCTTGAGATGGGACGCAGCACTGAACTCCCCCCCTTTCTCCTCCTCCGTGTGGTGATACGTCATCTTAGTGCTGATGAGGTGAGATGAATGGTAGCCAGTAGTGTTGTTTCCGTTCCACACCACATCAGCAGGGTACAGGCTTCTGTCTGGGAAGCTTTTCAGGGTTTTTGAGGTGTTCTGCACCACAATCTCTCCCCCTTCACAGTTACCTGACAAGGTGAAGATAGGACAGGTATCACTGTAGGTGTCCCTGATAAAGTCAACGTCCCCTTTCTCCCATATCCGGTAGGTTATGTCCTCAATGAAGTCCTCAGTGTCAGTCCATCGTGGAGCATACCCTTCCGAGGGGTCGAAGTGTTCTAAGTCTAACACCGGCGTAGCCGTAATCATCACAATTGTAGACTGTAGAGGTTACAATTATCACTTACAATTCAAAATAGGAAAATAATAATAGTGACAGATGGGGGGGGGGGGGGGTTGGGGTTCACCCTGATTTTTTTGTGAAACTTGGTTTCGAGATAGCAGTTGACCAACAAACTAGGACCAGTTACCAAACTTTTGAGGGGGTTCCGGACCCCAACCGCCAAACGGTGCCCGCGGGGCAGCCACGCCCATATTTTGTCCAAATTAGCCCCAATTTAGCCAAATACCCTGAACATGCCCAAAATCCAGATTCTAGGTGCTCTACTTGTAGCTAGTGGTCCCCTAAACTCGTATATGAATTTCTATCAAGATTGGACAAAAAATGACTGAGTTATGAGCAAAAAACCATATGACCATATTTGGGCATACGCACCAAATTTGATCGATTTTGGCCCATATATTGGTCAAATATCAATATTTTTGAATGAAACCAACTTTATATGAAAGGTAAGCCTATATAATAATACTACACATTCTCTATGATTATCAGCTCAGTATCTACCTAACTGTGGATTCTGTGTTCAAATAATCGCAAAAAATGAACAAAATTGCCCATATCTCAGTTCGCGATATTTGCAAAACTGATTTCGCTCAAAACAATAGAACTCAATAGGGTTTCTATATTTTTACATGAAATTTTCAGAATCAACGTAGAATTGCATTTCGACCTTAAGTTTTGGGACAGAATTTTGAGTTAGGCCTTTTAAAAAATTTGGCGGCCAAATTCTGAATTTCGCATTGCGAATTTCATTCAAAAATATTGATGTTTGACCAATATATGGGCCAAAATCGATCAAATTTGGTGCGTATGCCCAAATATGGTCATATGGTTTTTTGCTCATAACTCAGTCATTTTTTGTCCAATCTTGATGGAAATTCATATACGAGTTTAGGGGACCACTAGCTACAAGTAGAGCACCTAGAATCTGGATTTTGGGCATGTTCAGGGTATTTGGCTAAATTGGGGCTAATTTGGACAAAATATGGGCGTGGCTGCCCCGCGGGCACCGTTTGGCGGTTGGGGTCCGGGACCCCCTCAAAAGTTCGGTCACTGGTCCTAGTTTGTTGGTCAACTGCTATCTCGAAACCAAGTTTCACAAAAAAATCAGGGTGAACCCCCCCCCCCCCCCCCTTAAGTATATAACGATCCAGTTCATTATTCATGGATTGTTCCAGAAAGTTCTAGAATAATCCTAATATAATGCCGGCCCCATTATCCTAGAATTAGAAGCTAAAGTCACATATAACCGTAACTCAGGCCTATATTACTACTGCCTCAGCTCGATCACCACGCCTCTGCTGTGTATTGGTTGAAACCTCTTCAAACCTCCCCTGATTTATTTATTATTGATATTGTTTGATTGCGCCGTAAAAATAAATATTTGTTTTATTATTGACCCTGCTCACGTGATCACTCATTTCTAAGAACCTATTGGCTGCCCGCACATAAATGATTTAGCACTGCTAACTTTCTCTGCCTCACCTACTTGACGCGATCAAGGCAGTCATCTAGTAAATCACGTGACCTTGGGCCGCTTCTAGTGATTCCCAAAATCAATATAAAAAGCTGTTCATTCTTCAAGATGAATCACTTCTATTCTTACCATCGATTGTTTTCTAACAACTCTTGTTTCACTTTGTTCAAAGAACCAAAGAGTTCAACATTGGCGACGAGAGTTCAACAGTATTATGAGTATTGCTGAAAGCACAGTGTAAGGCCTACACGGACCGCCTCTAACTAGCCAATCCCTGTTTACATGCCGTGTAGCAGGGGACTAGAAAGAGCTAAACTAGTAAGCGGGGCATAGCCAATACACTGTACTCCCATCATTGAGTATATTACCAACCAAAAGGAAAATTTCCTTGTGTTTGGAATCTACCAAGACGCCTCCAAAACATTATATCCCTGACTCAACTCATTACCCAAGAAACTAATTTATACAGAAGCAAACTAAGCAAGTGAACAGTCATGGTGTTTATTGTTTGGGACCTGGAGACTTATAAACTATTAGTGCAGGATGATTGCAATGATCATATTCATATCTATAGACAAATTTTAAAATATGTATTTAGATGCCCAATTTTGTCCTCAAAAACCCTCTAAGTAAATGTTTGACAGCTTTAGCTGCCTGAAACGGTATATGTATGTTATACTTATAGATATTATGACAAATTCAAAAGTAAATAGTAGCTTCATATTCTGAAATACAAGCGCATGTAAATTTGCTTCATGGCAGAATTTAATATGATGTTCTGGCCAAATGTGCCAGTTGCGATCATTTTGTACATAATATCTGAAAGTCTTCAATATGTTCCTATCAAAAGTGAGCGAAATTGACTATTGTTGGTCCGATATTGTTCATTTTTTACGTAGGCAACCTTCCAAATACAGTGATATAGCCCATAAATTTGATGCACAATGTTTACACTTTACATGGGCGTAGCACCTTCGATCAACATCCCCCCCCCCCCCCCCCCCCTATTTTGAATTAATAAGTTTAACAGATTAAAAATAACCGATAATAGGACCACGATTGTAATGTAACAGAATAAACAAAAAACCTTCCCTTCATACTTAAGTTACAGTATTCAGGATAAGCTTTCTAATTCATTTAACTTTGCTATGTATGGCCAGAGCGTTGTACGATATTCACTCCATAAAGTTAAACAAAAACTTGACTAATTTTGTTTTTAGGCCCCGGCCTTGAACACCCCGGCCTTGAACATTTTCGATGAGTTTTAATGCCTTAAAAACAATAAAGAGGATATAATAGTATATGGTGGTAAATAGTATGGTGAGTGTAATGGCGACGGTCGTGCTTGCCAGCACTGTGATGTCAGCTTCTCTAAGTCCCCACGGTGCTTTAAGCTTAATTAATTTTGTCCTGTTTAATCCTGATGACGTATATATCGTGGTCGGATCACTTGGTTATCCAAAGTCGGGCAGCCTTATCATGACTATGATTACAAAACACAATAACGAGGCACAGGTTTAGCAAAATATACGAAACTCCATCTGTAACTGGAAACACGCCAGCAGGGTGTGCACCACTGAACTGGTACACTATAAAAACATGATTAAAAATTCATCCAAATTTTAAATAAATAACGATCGCAAACTTAAACTTTAAGTGTCCCAATTTAACCCACAAATCGTAAAATAATAACTTTTAATGGTGGCATGTTTTTTAAATGTTTTAATACCTTGAGTCTCAACACTGAAAAATGAATAACAAAATAATTTTGATTTTGTGATAAAAATCCCAGGATCGCGGGTGATCCAATAATTCCCCCTAAAAGTCTCCAATCCTCTGATCACCATGGTAATCACGTGACAAGGTAATGGTGTCATTTGCAAAATCTTTAATCTCAGATTCTATATTCTTGTTCCTCTGAGATAGTGAGAGTTCACCGTTACCATGGTATCAGTACTTCTCAATTTACATCAGTTCAAATATCTCAGAACAGAATCCCTAGTTGCACGTGTGAGCACGCGGGAAGCGTTGCCTAGTGACGTTAGGGCGGTAATATGATGTTGGGGATCACTTACTCTTTACAAAAGAGTCAGGAGCAGAGCGAAGGAGAGGATTAAGGAGAGAGCGAAAGAGCAAGCGCCACAAACTGGGGCACCAATTCCCCCTACTTCACAAGTTGCTTCAGCACTTCCCTCCTCCTGAAACGTTAGATCGTTATATCCAGCAGAAATATTATCACAACACAGAAATATTATGACATATTAAAACATTAATTCGAAGATAATGAACTAAAGAATCACTGAAAAGTAAATATAAAGTAAAAGTAAAATAATTCTAAAGTAACGAACTATTCCGGCTCCCGCGAGACACTCAAAGTTAACAACAGCTCCCATCTCATATGGTGCTGAACCCGACTCGGCCATGTCTGGATATGTAGCACCTCCAGCGAAATCGGGAGCAAGACATCCGACTGTGGATTATTGGTTTAGTAAGAGCAGCTGAGGAATTATGCAGAGAAACAATGGTTGGGTTCATAAGGTGGTTTATAAATATAAGGTGGTTTATAACGGGTTTATGCGGGGTTATAGGGAGTTTATCTGGCTTAGCTAGTTCAAAATACTTACAGTAGCAAATGAACTCTGGGAGATCCTCTCCTGCGCATTCGACGGATGTTTCAGAATATCCATTTGCGGTCAAATCTCCGGGGTTAAAATCTTTCACTGTTTGAGTGTCAAACCAATGGCTGGGGTCACAGCTAATTGTGTAGACTCCTCCAATCTCGAGGTTGTTTCCAGTGTGTGTTGATCCCTTCTGTACGTTGGGTGCGTTGCAGATGATAGTATCTGAGATTGAAATGGTTAAACTCGAGTTAAACCACAAACTTGAACCAAGTATCGTGCTACATTAAGAAGTAAGAAATCTTTTTAATATTGCGTGGCTATTAAAGCTAGTAGCTGCCCCATTATTAACGTAAAGGGTACAAGTTCAATACAGATTAAACATAAGAAGATTGAACTGCCGAAGAATTTTCGAGGATCATCCGAGCACCGATGACTGCTAATCGAGCGTAGGAAAATTAAGCAAAAACTTACCGGCGCAGAATGGGGGATTGGCATCATCATGAACCAGATCACCCTCAGGGGTGCAACTCATAGTGGGGGGTCCGACCAGGTTGAGTGTGTCATTAGCACATCTTACCTGAATATGGATTTAGTGAACTGGATAAAAGTAATCTAGCTAAGAACATTTTTTATTCGAAAACGATTGTTTTCGATTTTTATACAGTACCAACTACCACCATGGTGACCATAGCAGGGTCAGGGTGTAGTTTATTCCATGCTTACCTCGACGTGATTCCTTCCAGGTGACACAGCATTTCCAGCCTCCATAACCTCCATATCTCCATTGTAGAAAGTAAACTCCTCACTCTCGGGGACAGAGCATTCCTCTGAAAAGGGAGGAGTTTGAATTTAGAAAAGTTGGTAATCGGAGGAAGTAAAAGATTTAGATTCTGGAAGCTATATAAAAATAGAGGTTAAATAGATTGTAAATGTAACTTACTCAGGCACTCGGGCACTCCAGCAGAAGCGTAGAAAGTTCCTTCGCTGCAAGTAAACTCGAATACCATATTAACATTTTCAGCTAAAGCATAACCAGCAGCACAACTTACAACACCTGAAGTTAGTTTGTAATTAGATTGAATTAAATCAAACTAAATTAGGAATAACATAAAATTATCAACTAATTACGTAGTTTTTATTATGTTTTGAAATTTCGTGATACTTTTCATAACTATCTTCTTGTAACAACGTATCTAAAATTTACTGTACTTGTATAACATTTTCTTTCTTTAAAAAAACCAAAATTTAGCTTACCAGTTTTTGCCTCGCCCTGAATTCCATTTGCGCCGATGATAACGGTATCAACATTTTCAATTTCTTCAACATTGTCACTTCCACATCCAGCTGAAATCGAATAATTGTTAGTTTATTTTATCCTGATCTTTGATATTTCCTGTAATAAGTATAATACTCTCACTAAAATAATTTGTCGACAGTGAATAATTGAAGCACTTGAAGTCGCGAGTTAAAAATTTGGTGAGTTGAACTTGAATAACGTCGATTTGTAATAACAATAATGAATTTAAGTTTAATGACACTACTTTCAAGATAAAATTTATACTCAGCAGTATTTAATCTAAACATCCCAGACAAGCACTTAAAAATAACTTATGACTTATGCTTGAAAATATATCGCGTATTTCTAATGACAGAAAATATATATAATTGAGCATGTATAAAGTTAAACATGGACGTTAAATCGGGAGATAATGTCCACAAATATCGATGACAAGGAATATCAAATATTTCTTACGGTGACAGACAGGAAGATCGTTAACTATGGTCCAAACTCCGTTGTTTTCGGTGCTATTTTCATTGCTGTTGCACTGGAGATCGTACTGGGTTTCGGCGTCAAAGGCCAGAGAAGTTCTAAGAGTAAAAGTGAATTGAGATTCAGATCAGTATATTCGAAGTAGTATGTGATCTTTTCTAATTTAATTCACTGAGTCACTGATTCGTTTCTGAACACTTTTATTTCAACAGTTTGAATCAGTAGATAAATAATTGCCTAATTATTTGTTGGCATCGCTACAATTTTGTTGCTTACCCTTCAGCACAAGTGACCTCAGCCAAGACAGTCTGTCCTGAAGAAGCAGGGACGGCAATGGAAACACTTGCAAGGTTTTCTACATCTGCGAAGTTGCTGATCTGCTCCGCGGTGGGGTTGGCCGGGCATTGGGCTGAGGTGGTTTATTCATATTGAAGGCATTTTCTAGGTATTTTTAGCACTGATTTGAATATAAATATTAGTAATATATATAAGCATTCACCATACATCTATTATTAAATACAATATATACAATCTAGTACCAAGGCACTCAGGGCATCCTTCTCCACAATCGTACACTCCAGCGTTGGCTGTTCCCTCTTTGACTCCGGCACAAGTATACGAGTACTCTGCCTCAGCGTCGAAAGCGATTTCAAATCCACTTGGGCAGACAACCTAGGTTAATTTCATGGTAAAATCTAATAATCTCTCCCAATAGTTTCGACGTTTGTTGAGGATTTCATCATATTGCTTTGATACGCTTAACGCTTGGATACACCGAGATGTCATAATAATCTAAACCAGTTTTCATGCTTTGCTATATATAATTGTATCCGGTTATGTAATATACCTCAGCGGAAACGCTAGCTCCATGTCGGGATCCCTCATCCAAATTCAGAGTGACTCCTTCTTGGTTTGTGTTGTCGGGTGAGCACAACTCTGAAAGATAAAGAAATCATCCGACCAATAATGCAATGTTTGTTTTAAATATTCGTCTCTAAATCTTTGGGAACTGGCCGTATAGTCAGGTGAAAAGTGGTCGATTTGAGGGTTCCGTTGGATCGGAATGTTCACAAGGATTTCTCAACGGAATATAGTACTGGTAGTTAATATCCCTACAAACATAATTAGACTTGTTGCACATTTTTATCTAACTGCCAATTGCCATACTCGTTTTTGCCACGCCCATTTTGAGGGTCTCGCGTATAGGAAAAATTTGAATTTTCGATAATTTTGGTCGGATTATATTAGATTTATAGGAGGTACTTATTTTTTCCCTGCCAGTCATTAATTTTGGGAAAACAAGATTATAATTCCTGCACAATTTCTCAGATTAACACGTCTGAATTAATTCTACGTGAGAAACGCTCGAGCACCACATGTACTTTTATATTTGTTGTATATGAATATCTACTTTTAGTAGAATGGTTTCATTTAAGCTGTGATGATATTCGTTCTTTATACCGTTACGTACTGGACATGCAACTAAAGGCTTAAAGGGTAGTTAACATGTTTCCCATCCTTTCAAGTTAGATAAACAGTTAATTACCGTAACATCCATCTGAAGAAGTAAGGTTGTAAGAATTTCCGTCGACGTTTCCACTGCAGTAACCGTAAACTGGGGTATCAACATCAGCCTGGAAGCCAAATCCTTCGTCGCAGGCAAAAGCGTATTGCACTGAAACAGTGAGTGATTAATATTGAGCAAATAGCAAAGAGTGAGCAAATAGCGAGCAAATAGTGAGCAAATAGTGAGCAAATAGCGAGCAAATAGTGAGCAAATAGTGAGCAAATAGTGAGCAAATATTGAGCAAATAGTGAGCAAATAGTGAGCAAATAGTGAGCAAATAGTGAGCACATGAATAACCATTTATTTAGTTACCAATAAGTTATGAAATACCCAATAACCATGAAACTGGCGCCACGATGATTATATTATTATTAAGAAATAGCATTAAGATTAGAGAAAATAAAATCTTACCAAATTCAGTATCGTCCTCAAGGACCAAGTCAATATTTGCGACATCTCCGAACTCCTGGTTTACCTTCAGCTTGCTCACTTCTGACGCAACCTACAAATATCAACATATTCACTCATTGTAAAGAAATTCTGCAAAGTTATGAAAAGAGAATGTCTCAAAATTATTGTTTTATTGTCGAAAAGAAAAGAAGAACAGCTGCTCACATCAACTCCAGTGCAGACATCGCGGGTAATGTTAACATTGGCAACACATGCAGAGTGTTGGGTCAGGGTAGCGTCCTCTACCAGAATGGTTGCTAGGACACCTGTTTCTGTGTCACAGGGATAGAATGAGTATCCTACCAAAGTGAATTCAGCTCCACATCGTACATCTGAAATAGTTAACTGTCAGTTACCAAGGTAACTGTTAGTTACCAACATCACATCTTAAATTTTGAAGAGTGATACATCAGCGGAGTGTATATAAAATGTTAGGAATCACTCGGTTAATCCGTATATTTTCATGACTTCTGTTGACTATCCTATTTCATTGTTCCAAGTTGAACTCTTGATGCCACCGGGATATTTCTAAATAAGTTCTTACCCATTCCGTCGGTTCTTGAAGAGAAGTCCTCTGAGCACAGTCGAGAACTTTCGTCACTGAAGAGAAGATGAGGATTGATTTTTACAAATTATTTAACGATTTTCTTTATTTTACTATATATAAAGCTAGACGATATATATTATATATATATATATCTGTTACCATTTTACTAACAGCACGACTTCAAGACTTTCCGCGAAAACCGTGAAAAATATACTTTTGAAATTTTGTTGGCTGGGTCGAATGCTTTTATAGCCTTTTGGTCAGTATAAATAAAAATTGGCCAAGGAATAAACAATTTAGGTTTCGAAAAATGGACCTCCAGGGCCCAGGTGGTGTCAAAATCACAAATTAAATAAACAACATTGTCTAATGTCTTAATGTCTCTTGATACCACTTTAGAGAAACACGGGTTCCTGCTAGTCCATATCATATGAGCAAATATAACTTCAACACGTTTTTGTGTACGGTGTAAAGGCTTCTACCACTTTAAATTTGAATTCAAATCCAATGTAACAGGAAGTCATAAAGAAAATAAAAAATACTCACACAACATGATCGATTCCGTCATCGTCAAAACAGTAAAGGTTCTCTTGTGCACCCAGGTAGGGCTCAATCAGGTCTACTTGGTAGTTACACCGCGTCAATGCACTTGCTATCTGCATACAGCTCAGAAGAGCGACTATCACCACTGGCCCCGACATCGAGTTACGAGGAGCTAAAATATTTCCTTGTGTTTGGGTTGATTATTAGAGGAGCTGGAATATTTCCTTGAGTTTCAGTTGAATTATTAAGACGAGCTGAAATATTTCCTTGTGTTTGAGTTGAATTGTTACGAAGAGCTAAAATACTTTCTCGTGTTTGAATTGAATCATTGAAAGAGAGAAATGAAAATTGTACAATATGTGGCAATATTCAAATGACTGCAAAGCCAATACTTAAATCAAACTAAAAATAAGTTGAAAATTGAATCAGATAATTCAAGAAAAACATAATTTGGAAATGAAAGAAGAACTGGACGATAAACACAAAGCTGGTTGAAGATTAATCATTAAAGAAGTTTAATTGGTATTTATCTGCTGCTAGAATCAGTTTCGAGTAATGGTTTAGAAAGAGAAACTGAAATGACCCATGTGACATAAATGTGATGTAAACGGACCTCAATTGAGCAATAATAGATTAAGTAGGCGTGGAGTGAACTTAACAAAGTTGTTCAGGTTAGAAAGAACTGACACTTGAAAGTAAAATACTGATAACAGATGATATCGGGGTGTAAACAGATGATCTAAACGCAACGTCAACGAGCGATTTATCAAGAAATGATTGCAACTTGTCGAGCTAAAACCAAGTAACTCGTGCACGTGACTCGCACGTGACCTTTATTAACGAGCTGCTCAGTAACCACGTGCTAACTGAATAGAGTCAAAATGTGTCGCCAAGCAACCACGTGACTCGTCACGTGCGCATTGTCAAGAAGAGAGACAAGTAGATAGTCATGCAGAGTAACTTGTTACCATAGAACGAGTTGCTCCAAACAGAGGAACACAATTGTTGAGCTCCAATTGCAGCCGAATATATTCATCTTGTGAAAGTGCAACTAACTTTTTAAATAAAATCTGCAGCGTATGTAAACGAAGACGCAGGAATATATATTTGTGATGCACACTATGTAAAACAACTGTATTAATATTTGGAATTTTCAGCTTAGTTCTTGTAGAAGCCCATTTAATAATTCATTTAACATTTCGGTTGTTAATGTTACTGTTAGCCATAAATTACATTTTGCATCTCGATCCGGAATTATCATAAATATGGTATTTTCTTGAATTTTAAAGTATACATGATAGAAGTATTGATGATAGTACCATTTACAATGTAATAGCAGTACATGGTGTTTTCATTGAGAACCAAAGACGTTTATGCGTATTAATACGTATAATAATAAACTCACGAGGGAAATTGAACCAAACAAAGTCACTACTGTTATATATTGTGAACATAAAACAAAAATAATAAACATGCACGGATAAATATCACAGGGATATTTAATTTCTCCATACATTAAAACATAAGGCACATGTCATTGCAGTTGCGTAGCAAAATTGAGAAACGATTAAAAATTCAGAACCGATTCTCAGGCAGATATATAAGCTGGCACCGAAATGACATTTTAGAAATAAGCTGTGTTCTCACACGAATTGGGAAAATATATTCTCACAACAAAAATAAAACGTAGTACGTGTTTTCAGGGCTGCTTTATTGTACGTGTCATATTTATTGGCTAAAATTAATATTGTGAGTAAAATTGGTCGGCTTTAGACGTGAGTGCAATTGAGCGTTATGCCATTTAAGGGGGGGGGATAGCAGTTGACCAACAAACTAAGACCAGTGACCAACCTTTTGAGGTCCCGGACCCCAACCGCCAAACGGTGCCCGCGGGGCAGCCACACCCATATTTGGTCCAAATTAGGCCGAATTTAGCCAAATACCCTGAACATGCCCCATACCCATATTTTATGTGCTCTTCTTGTAGCTAGTGGTCACCTGAACTCGTATATGAAATTTCATCAAGATTGGACAAAAAATGATTGAGTTATGAGCAAAAAACCATATGCCCATATTTGGTCATACGCACCAAATTTGGTAGATTTCGTCCCATGAATTAGGCAAATATCAATATTTTTGAATGAAACTTACTAAACTACGTATTCTCTGTAAGTTATAGCTTTATATCTGTTTAAATGTGGATACTATAAGGCGAAAAAACCATAAAAAATGAACTAAATTGCCCGTATCTTGGTTCGCGATATTCGCGGAATTGATCTCATTAAAATTGTAACAACTCAATCAGTTGAATCGACTCGAAATCGCATTTTCACCTTATTTTAAATACGGATTTTTGATTTAGGCCTCAAAAAAATTGGCGGCAAAATTTTGAATTTTTGTGAGAAAATTTTGGAATTTGGCCGCCAAATTTTTTTGGCGGCCAGTCATTTTTGTCAGAGTTGAAAAATACGTATTTTACGAATTTTATAAAATATCAAAAATACGTTAAATACGGCGTATTTTATTTTCGTTGAATAAAATACGTAATAAGTGTTATTGTACCATTGATAGCTCCAATAAAGTAATAAGTACTATTGCTTTATATAAATTTACGATTTTATCAAAACTCGCGTAGCTCTGTCGTTTTTCACCTCGCATATGACTTCAGAGTACTGGGCACGTGCTATACCTACCAAAGCATTAAAGCGTTGAAGTTAAATAGAAATGTGTCTGAAAAAAATGCAAACGAATGACATAACTTTAGTCTTTGAATGAAATTTCAAGAAAAACGTATTTTAACGTATTTTTGACGTATTTTATTTCTAAGCAAAAATACGCAAAATACGGCGTATTTAAAAAATTATCTCACGTATTTTTCAACTCTGTAATTTTTGTCCAATCTAGATGAAATTTCATATACGAGTTCAGGTGACCACTTGTAGGTTTACAACCTACCAGGACGCGCGCCGAGTTGGACTCGTCGACGGTCCAATATATGGAACAGATATTTTACGAGTATCACCCGTTAAGTGACCACTAGCTTCAAGAAGAGCACATAAAATATGGGTATGGGGCATGTTCAGGGTATTTGGCTAAACTCGGCCTAATTTGGACCAAATATGGGCGTGGCTGCCCCGCAGACACCGTTTGGCGGTTGGGGTCCGGGACCCCCCCGAAAGTTCGGTCACTGGTTTTATAGTTTGTTGGTCAACTGCTATCTCGAAATCAAGTTTCACAAATAAATACCCATTCTTGTTATCCCGGATCAATATAACTTTGCGGAGTGCAATCACATTACTCATAATTTATTTTGTGCAATTACGTATGCTCTAGAACTAGAACTACATCATTTTCAGATATTACTGCTCAAAAACCCCAAACTGTGTGAGCTAAACCGTGGTGCGCGGCTTTGCATGTTCAATGCACCATCAAACTGTAATCACGCAAATTTGAACAGTCCCCGCGTTGTTATGCGGACAATTGTTAGCTTGTTTGCTAACTATATTAAACAAGTTAGCAACCATGTGAACAAGCTTGCTAACTTGCTTAAATATCTGAAATCTGAGCAAGCAAATGATTATATGGGATTGTTTAAATATTACGTAATCTAGAAACTGAAATTTGGTTTTTAGACTTCGTCCGTAATGACTTCTACACAGTACAGTGTACACATATATATGGTGTGCAAATGACACTAGTGTTACCATTTCCAAATTACAAACCCCCTCCCCCCATACTTTTATAATTCTTCTCCCAAAATGAAACCACGTTCAAGTGAAATGCATAGGGTTTTTGGAGGCCTGAAAAATCACATTAGGATCAATTACTGAAGGACGGAACAACCACAATCTTATGTGGTACTGGTAAAATCGGAAATGTCAGGCTGAGTCAGGCCATATAATGTAATAAGGTAATACTAATAGGACACAATGCCTACATGCGTGAGTATTTACTTTTTTCTCCGAAACCTTAAACGCAAGTCTCTCAAATATTTCAGTTCCTTCAGGATCTGAAGACGATTGGGCGACATTTGTCCGACAGCGACATCTGTCCGACTCAGACAAAAAGGTTATTCGGACAATAGTTTATGTAGGATCCTACCGTAAAATTTTCTTGAAACTTTCCATAAAGTATGGTGGTTCGTTTGTATAGGACGGATATCTGTGTAAGTTTGAGCGAGTTTCTATGTGCCAAATTTGAGATATCACTTCAAACACAATTAAATAGTGCTGTCGGACAGATGTTGTGTTACCTCTGAAGACATAATTAAAAAAACAAAATCTGCTTCATTAGAAAAATTCACAATTCATTCGATATGGACATTCATCAGGTTTTTAAAAAGAACAGGTTCGATAAAATCACCATTCAAGAAAGAGGGTGCCATTGACCTTTGTTGATGTTATAATAAGTCGTAACAACAGAAGAACAGAGTAACCACTGTTACAATTGATTGACGAAGTGGAGAATTTGTCACGAGATACTTCCGTCATTATTTCAAATCACATCTTCGATATAACTAAAGGATCAACTAAAAAAATACAAAACTAAAAAGATACCACAACTATAAGCAGATAGCTGATAGGTCACACAGCTAACGGTCACACTATACCAACTAGTTTGGCTGGGGTATTTATAAATAAAGGAGCACTGTGGTTGATCCCGCTGTACAAATGAACATATCGCGGGTCTAACGAACAAAGTGTACCAATCATATATTAATTAGAGTTATATGGGAACAGCGAAGATCAGTTGGGATATCGGCCAGCGAAACGAATGTATCACGCTTTTACATGAAAGTACCTGATTAGTTCTTAACGAGTTAACGAGAAGTTGACCTTTCATTTCACCGTACTAGTGAGCAGTAATGATATGTTTAGACATTATGATATGTTTAGAAATAGTGATACTAAATAATGATAAGTTTAGAGTTGCATAGCATACACGTGCTCATATAACTCTCATAGATTGATCAAGATGCGGAACACTGACGTGTTACACACCTTTACTGAAACATGAGAACTATAACTCCAAACTCACGAGGTTTATACCGGTCTACTCATTCGCAATATTTCATGGATGCGGTTAGCACTTCAACTTCCTAATCCTACGCAAAACGTACTTACGTACTGTCAAGAGAATACATGTGAACCTCAAGTATAAAAGTGCAAAGTGTAAATATCATTGGTTCTGGTATACACCATTCATTTTGGTCAGCGTCAAATAAGCAAGTTATAAACATACCAAATCGGTCCTAATTTTTTTGGCATGTAATGGCCACACCGAATTTGGCTAACTTAGGAAAAATTAGGGTTTGCATTATCGGTCCAATAATTTTTATCGGCGATACCGATAATTTTCGGCGATAAAATTTTGTCATAACAATGAGCTAAGTTTCTGTTGATTTTTATGACTGACATAATCAATTACACATTTGTCACCTTTGTGAATGAGGATTACCGAAGTCCTGAGTTACTGTTACAAGAATTCTAAACATGTATTAATTTGCAATTCCACAACGGCATTGTATATTTATTTAGAAAGCAATCAGATAATATCACTTCAATTGCGTGAAAATTACAATTTACAGATGTTCAAGTAAAACAAGTAACTTTACTTTATAGATGTCTTATTGGCGAAATACAATTTTACTCTATTGGAATGGGTCATTGGGAAACATATGCTGTTAAAAGATTGATCATCAATGAAATGTGAATAACTTTACATATTTTAATTTTACAATGAGAGGATGACATTGATTTAGGTAGCAA